ACGCACTCCGATCCCTCTCTGCAAACCGGGGCCCCAGAAGACCCCAGGGGCCGGCGACACGAGGGTGGGCCGGCGACACGAGGGTGGCCCGGAGCCTGCGTGACTGGCCGTCGCGGGTGGGCAACCCTAGGCCCCGCAGGGTCCGGGCGGGGATCTGACCCGCGCGCACTTGGGGTGCAAGCGGACCCCGAGTCTCCGCGCTCGGTCGGAGTTGAGCTAGTTCTGAACTCAGTTCCGCTTCCTCCCCAGACCCCGTCCCGCCCCTCACTCCCGCCTGGAGACTCTCCACTTCCCCGGGCGGCCGGGGCCGCTAGGGAGCGGGGAGAACGGAGGCCCCGGGGCAGCGGTCGGGGTGTCCCCCGCGGGTGGGCCCCCCACCGTCGCCGTCCCCCATACCCGGGGGGACACCGGCCGGAAGTGCTCTCGGCCCGGACCCTCCCGGCCGCCCTCCCCGCCCGTCCCTCTCCGCCCCCTACCGGCGTCCAGGGTGCGGCTCTCGGCGGACAGCGGTCCCGGGAGGACCCGGCGTCCCGGAGACATGCCGGCCGGCCTCGCAGGACGGGTCGGGCGAGGTCGGGCCGAGGGTGGCGGCCCCGCAGCCCGCTCGCTCGGGATTACGGGCCCAGCGGGCAGCTTACCTTGCCAGCTCCCCAGCGAAGCTCGGCGTCGTGTGTGTTTCGTCTCCTAGGAAACGGCTGGGAGCTCGCCCACCGCGGGCGCCCCGCCCACTTGTGGGCGTGGCATCGCGCGGCGAGCCCTGGAGTGGGCGGGGCTTCTGCTGGAGCGCTTTCCGTTCGCAAAGCGTGGCCGAACTCAAGGCGCGCTGATCCCTGGTGACCTTATCGGAAGTCGGTGCGTTTGCTTTGTTTTTGTGGCTATTTACTTTATGAAATTTTCATTGATTAAATCTAGTTCCCAGACCAGAGGTGCACTTTCTCTGTACTGCCTGCAGAAAACCCACCCTTGTATGGCAGTTTCTTTATGGTCAGTCCTTCGAGTAACTGTGGGCTCCTGGCTGCGCTTGTGAGCCGGGTTTCACACCTCCGTCCCGTGGACCTGCTGAGTAGCGCTCCCCGAGTGGAGAAGCGAAATTTCACAGCAAATGAATGGGTGCGTGAGTCAATAGCCACTAACCGGAGAGTTTTGGGAGGAGGAGCTACTGGGGAAGAGTTAAAATTAACTTTCATGCCTGCCTGGCAAGCGCAAGGTCCCGAGTTTGATCCTCAGTACCAAAAAAAAAAAAAGTTGATAGTCACGAACGACCCGCCTCAGAAGCGCTGGGGTGCGGCTGTGGCTAGCTGGTTAGCGGTGATCAGTTCGGTTTTAGGTTGTGAGCTTGGAGCCATGGCAGAGAAGACAATCTCGCAGCCTTCTCCCAGTTTATGATGAATTAGGCAGACACAGTAGAGGCATACAGCAGATCATAACGGTCCTACAGAAGCCCAAGCATGCAGCTTAAGCTTTGTTAACATGCATGGCCGAGCCTAAGAAGAACTTCCGTCAGAAAGTGATGTAGTCAGATTTGCATTTAAAAAAAAAAATCACCTTTCAAAAGATTGTAGCAGTGGGGAAGGTGCGCAGGAGCAGTAGGTGCAGAGCCGAAGGAAAGGAAGCTGTGGAAGCTGGGAAGGAAACCAGACGGTGAGGGACAGGAGGCAAGGCATTTAGGGGTCAAAGCTGACAGGACCGTGTGGCCCCGGGACAGGTGGGTTGTGCGGTCTGCAACCTAGTTGAGAAATACTGGGAGAGGGCACCAACTTGGGGTGGAGGTGTGAGGCAGAGTGTAGCATTCACAGATCAGAAGATAGGACATGCTAACGCAAGACTGATGAAGAGCTCGAACAGGAAGGATTAACCTGTGCGACCCAGCACCTAAGAAACACAGAACAGAGAGGATGGAGGAGCAGCGTCATCTATAGAACCATAGTGAGGACTTTCTGCAAGTGGTTAGGGATGTAAACTCACAGGTAAAGGGCACAGTAGGATATGAAGTGAACAAGCAGAACTGTATGCATCTAGGCACAAAGGGGTACAGCTGTGCTGTGCAACATGGAGAAATTCAGAGCAACAGAGAGGCAGAAAGACGGTGACGAGGTCAGCAGTGAGGCAGTGGATTTCTGTGCCAGCAAGAAGCCAGGAGATCAATTTTTCCTTAGGTGAGAGTTATGAAAAATTCTCCCTTGAAGTACTGAGAAGAACTCTAAAAATGTTGGGCTGATACCTAAGAAAACTATCCTTCAAGGGCCAGGGACTCATTTTCAGATTTAAAAAGAAGAACGGGGAGCCAATTGTGATAGTGCTCACATACAGTGCTAGCTGTCTAGGAGGCTGAGGCAGGAGGATTGGAACTTCAAGCCCAGGCTGGCCAGTTTAGCAATTGAGTGAGACCCTGTCTCAAAGAGATGGAGGGGGGTGGCGGGGGAGATAGCTCAGTAGAGTAACCACTTGCCTGGCAAGTGCAAGGGCCTGAGTTCAATCTCTGGTTCCACAAAAACAAAAAAAAAAAAAAAAAAAAAGAGGTGGAGTGATGGGCGGTGGAGGCAATGATGGTGAAAAAAAGCTTGAAGATGTATTGTGTACTTCCTCCCCACTCAAGGAATGGAAGCACTGTGTAGTTCAAATTCAGATTAAGAAAATTTATTTTTAAGCTAAAAAGTATTTTTAAATGGTCTGGGAATGTAGCTCATTATGAAGGTCCCGGATTCAATTTCCAGTACTAAAAAAAAAGAAAGAAGAAAGAAGAAAAGGGTAGGTGAGGAGAAGGAAGAGAAGAGAAGGGGAGGGGAGCTGAGGGCAGAGGGGAAGAGAAGAGAGGAGAGGGGAGGAGAGGAGAGGAGAGGAAAAGAAAGGAAAGAAAGGAGAGAGTGGGGCGGGAAGGCCACTGACAACCTACTATGAAGGAACTTCTAAGGGTTGTGCTTTAGGATAAAGGAATGTAACCCCAGGAGGAAGGTCTGTAGTAGAAAAAGATGAACAAAGAAATTATTCCATGTATAAAGTGTAAGTATTCTCAGGATAACACTAATGGGCCAGTTGTAGCACTTCAATCTTTAGATAACATCAGCACCTAACCGGAGATAACGGACTCCAGGCGTTGTGTTTGGAGGCCCATAAAGCAGCATCCTTAGCCTGTTAGATGTGTGCGGTGAGTTTCACAGCTGCCTTGGACTTCCCTTGCTCCAGATCTGGAATTAGCCATTTCTCCAACAAGTCTTATTTCCTTTAAGCAAGAAATAGCATTTAAAATCCATGCCTGAATATTAATGTATTCATTGCTATCGTGGTGTCCTTCACTGTAGACATTGGCTTTGATGTAGTCAGATGAACAAGTGAGTCACTAAAAAACATTTCCTAATTTTATCCATGGGCGAATGAAAGAACACAGAACTAAGGAACAATAAGGTGCTCCACAAAGCGGATGGGTGAGTGGGGGGGGGACATGCCCTACCATGGGACCAGACTTCTTATACAGTGATAATGAGCAAGATTATAAAGCTGGATGCAGAGGTGGAACAAATCTCCAAAGGAACAGAGCAGAGAACTCTGATATATCAAATATATTTATGTCTCTCTTGGGCACATAGAGGAATTCGATATTTCATAGGTGGCATTGAAGCCCTCTGGAGAAAACAGACTACTAAAAAAAATGCACATGGCAATACTAAAATTGTCCTTTAACTACCAAAGCTCACACATGCTTCCACTAGCCAACTTCAGAATAATTTGAGATAAAGAGTAATAAATTATAGCACATTTGAAAGTTCAAAAAATTTTAATTGATTAATAAAAGCTGTGCCTGGTGTTTTCACATACTTGCACATTGTTAAGTAGTTAAATGAAGTTACTGAACATATGCATCAACTCACAGAGTTGTTTTTATAGTTTATATACTAATCAATATATAATAAGGCATTATTATAATGAATATTCTGATTGCATGTAAAATCTCAAGTATAAAAAGACAGGTCAACTAACTCAAAGTTAAAAGAAATGTGCTTTTCAGGGATAGGGAGATAGCTCAGAAGCATAAGTACCTGTGTGGCAAGTGCAAGGTCCTGAGTTCAATCCCCAATACCAGGGGGAAAAATATGCATTTCAAGGATGAATAAATCTACTCGTCTGAAAGAAGTGTTAGCAACGACGAAGTGTACTAGGAGCTTTTTCAGTGTGGTGAGTATAAACTGATGTAGTGTATTCTTTTTTTGTTTTCGTGCTGGGAACCAAACCAGGACTTCATACGTGCAAAGCAGATGCTCTACCATGGAGCATCACAAGTCCACCCCTTGGGAAACTTTAAAAATATCATGCTCAAGCAAGACTGCAGGATTTCTGAAAATGGGACCCTGACGTCAATGCTATTTAAATATCCCCATGTGATTTCGAAATGAAACTGAAGTTGAGGATCACTTCTCCAAAGAAAAATCTTAGACATGTGTACCAGGAAACACATAAGTGCTGTTCCCATGTTTAGTATTGGTAGGAAGAAAACCTGGAAGCAGCCCAAATGTCATCAGCAAGAGAACAGACAGATAAATTGTGGTCTAGCTACCCAAAAGAGTATTACAGTCATGAAAATTAATGCCACTGATTAATCTTAGGCATGTGACACTGAGGGAAATAGAAGAGTTGTGCAAAAGTAATCTAGTATGCCTAACATTTTCAACAAGGGAAACTAAACAATACAGAATGTGTCTGGTCTTCACAAAACTGAGCTCAGAGCTTTGCCAGCAGGACTCCCAGATGTACGGAATGTGAAGATGTACAGACAAGATGGAGGGTGGGGTGCTTGCAGTTCCTCAGATATTATGGTGGTTGGGGGTGAACAGTCACAGCAAGAGGGGACAATGTTGTGGGGTCCTACCACAAATCAGTCTTCAGATCAATTCAACTGGTGGGCAGAGAAGATGACGCATAAGTCTGCTTGGAACTCCCGCTGATGGAACTGCTATCTCTTCCAATCCTAATACAGGATGCGTCTCACTGGTAAAATTATCCTGTTATTGGATCGTGATGAATTATGTCCACGGTGATCCATGGGGGGCTTCTTGGCTTTGGAGGCTGCGCATCTACTTTTCCCACCCAGCCATGTCGCCCACTCTCCCAAGGCAGATGCCCCGGCCCACTGGTCTTGTGCGGTTCAGCTTCAGAGACAGGCGTGTGAGCCTTTCAGCCTCTCGGTGAGTGGCTCGCCTAGACAGGAACACGGTGTCACACTCCAGGAGAGGGCTCTTCCCCATCTGCTAGGGGCACGATGCAGAAATCTGGGGGCTCAGCACAACTGGAGCCACCTTTGCCACCTAAGGAACGCAGAGGTGCTGAGAGAGGAGGGGACCAAGATTGCTTCCAGATAGCAGTAGATGAGCACCAGGATGGGGCCAAACTGGAATCCAGTCACAGTGCCTGCTCTTTGCCTGAATGTCTTCACTTTTCTTAGTCATTTGGTTTTCATTTTCACTTGCAGTTAAAAGTGTCCCTAACTTATGAGGTGTGATTGAAATGTGCAGTGAATATTTAAATTTTTTAAATTCATCTCAGTAAAAAAGCACATTGCCATTGGTCCCCTTAAGATACTCGCCTCCTCTTAGAGCACATTTATTCCATCATTCTTGCTACTTGCTGAGTAGTCCTGGAGTCCTCAGCCATGTGTGTCCCTGGGTCGTGGCTGCCCTGATGTCCTGAATTGATTCAGAACAGTTAGCTTTCCCTGTCATTTTGATTTGAG